GAGAGAGAGAGAGAGAGAGAGAGAATGAAAATTTTTAGCATTCTTTTCGGTCTCTTGTGTTATAAAAGCAAAGAAAAAATGTGATTATATTTTCTTGTGATTTCGAGACACGTTCACCACGTTATTCGAGAGCTACCGATCCGTTGGTCCGGACTCTCTCTCTCTCTCTCTCTCTCTCTCTCTCATTCTCTCTTAAATTCAATTTGGGAGCAAAAATCTTCACAGTATTTCAAACCAAGACATAGATATGTGTTTCAAACGTTTTATTGGGGATATATTTGTCGCCTGAAAGAACACTTTCCAACAATACGTTTTGTCACATCAAATACAATATAATGTTCACATTTTCCCCAAATATATTTTTATTTGCCTCAAAATTGTTTGCTCTAACGTTAAAAGCAAATAAAACAATATTTTAAAATGCATTGTTTTTTGTCATATGTCTGCTCTCATATATAAATTTTTATATTTTACATTTTTGCTATAAATCTGTGCATATATTTGATACATAGCTCTAATCAATTGCCGCCAAAACACACAAATGTTGTTTAATAACAATTCCTTGAAAATAACCATTTGTTTACAGCAATGTGTGTATAAATAATATGTTTAAAATAAACTTTAAAATTTTGCACAATTTGCAAAATTTATACATTATATGCATAAATTGTGGGTTAATAGTGAGTATAATATTGTAAATAAAACTAGTGTAAATTTGTTATTTAAATGAACAAATATAAACTTTAAATATGGTTATAAAGTTACTATAATTAACAAGGTATTTCAATGATTACAAACTTACCTTAAAAGCGTTGCCAAACAGTAGTTGGTTATCAATGACTAAAAGCGTGATAAACAGCAAAACAATACTTGTATTCATTATTTATCTGATTTTTCTTTTGATAAAATATGTTTTAATAAAACTGGATTTTAATGTGTTTTTCAGCAAAAACTTTAATTTGATTTTTTGTTGCTTTTTTCAAGCGATAAAGTGTTTGTTCACAAAAAAATGATTTCAAATCAGTCGTGAGATAATATTATTAATCAGTTTATATCAATAACAATACAAATCTTTTAGTATTTTTCTATATATACTTTGTTTTATTTTCACAACCACTTTAGATATCAATAATAAATAATTTAATATTATTTTATATAATTAATGAGTTAGTAAACCATTAATACATAATATGATAATTTGTAATTGAATTAAAAAAGCTTAATATCGAAAGCAAAAAACTACTAATAAATAGGTTTTATATTAAAATTGACATTCAATTTAATGAGAGAAAGAGTCACACAATTTGTTTTGCCGTTTATCTGAATGGCAATGGATTTTATATAAACTTATTTGAGTCTCACTTCTTCTCGCTCTCTATGTTTTCGTATATATCAATAGAAAATGTGTGTAAAATACATACAAAATACTAGCTTTTCATAGCGCGGGTATGTAGTCATCGGCGCCGTCGATGCGCTGCCAAACACATGGACAGGGAGTTTGCGCTTTCATTTTACATTCAAACTTCATGTCCAAAAACGTGATATTTTGTGTTAAATATTTGTTAAATTAGATCTTATTTCTGTATTTAACAGCCAATAATCATACAGTATTATATTTTTGTACTATAAAAATAACATTATACATTGTATCTCAAAATGTCAAGAATTTTATTCAATTGATTAGAAAATTTGAAAATAAAGAATTTGTCCCATCATGAATTCATTGAGTGTTTTTTTGCTAATTAAAAATATATATTTGTACCAATATATATACCAATTGTACCTTTGTAATGTACCAACTTATTACTTGCTCAATAAATAGAAGTGCTAGTAATAATCAATTTAATTAAACAATAAATATCCATGGCCATATAGATTTATCAAATTATGAAATATGTTGATTGATTGAATGACAGTGATTTTAACCATATGCTAGTGACATAGAGTTTCAATAAGTATTGCAGTATTTTACTAAATTAAGTAAAAATTTATTAAAATATTTTGTTATAGTTTATTTGAAAAATATGTTACATACAGTCAGTGAAATACTTTTTATAATTATCCATAGAATTAGTATTATGCACTTTTTTAGGTACTCTCTCTTGTTAGCTCTCTCTCTCTCTCTCTCTCTCTCTCTCTCTCTCTCTCATTATTGAGATGAACTGATTTATTGTGACATTAATAATGGGTATTATTGTTAATTCAAACCAAAAAACATATAATTTCACTCTAATTATAGCCAACAGTAGAAATATAAATAACATTTCAATCAATATTTTATTAGAAACAGTGTTTTTAACTAAAAAAGGAACATTTTCTTTGTTTTTATTATTAGTATTACTATTATAAACATGTCTGAGATATAATAAAAATCGAGGTTAATTGCTATTAGAAAAGTTATCACGTAATGTAAATAATTCTTATAATACTTGAAAGTAAAATAATTGCGAAACAATACACTGACACCAGATTTCAGTGAAATTAAACGGGATATTAAACTACAAGTGCTTTTATATTCTGTATAGTGTACTGAATTCATAGTTACTTTATCCCCATATATACGTAAACCTCTGTATAGCATACAAGTACTGTAAATACCAGTTGAATGTCACAAATATCTTATTGTAGGCGAAGTTTATTAAGAAATATGGGCTTAAATTACATCCAAGTTATCAAATAATTATTTGACACTTTATTTGTGATAAGATATCGAGAAATGTGTCGATTATTAATATTAATAAATAGATTTTGCAAAACAAAACTACAACTCATTTGTTTGTTAGACAAATAGCACAGTCATTAATGTTAATGCAATTAGTGATGGATATGTGTACTTGGTACATTTCCATAAGTTGTGGACTGTAACTATTTAAATAACAATAATATTTTTGATAATAATTGAATTAAAACTTTTAATCAAATCTAATTTTGAACCAAAATTCTGAACAGCATTTTCAGCTTAAAAGACAGGAATTCACGTAAAACTTAATGATTAGATAACATAACACTAGCATAAGAAAAATGCATTAATGTTAGCCATAAAACAAATAAAAAACTACTTGAAAAACTAGTTTAAGGCTTGATTACAAATAGCATACATAAAACAAAAATTTCTTTTATAATGATAAGTGTGTCAAAACCTGCCCTCCACTCCACCCCCACCCCAACACTGGATGTCAAAAATCATATGATATATCGTTTGACAGATATATCATAAAAACCCTTTATGTCATGAAATTCTTCATCGTATCTAATCTGTGGTCTCTTTCGGTGATCTCAAGAAAATTATGAAATTATACTTTTCTTTCCCACAACTATTCAATGAATATTAAACATTAATTTCATATGATTTCAGATAACAGTTCCTATGAATGAGATATTCAATACATAAAACAGTGATTTATTGCTAATCAACCGTTTGTTTGCATTTTATTATTTATTGTAAAAAATTCATAATAAAAACACTTCACATCCAGTGTTCATGTGATGATCAGCACATGATTTTAATAAAATATTTTAATACAGAAAAAGGTTAATATTATTTGAAAAGGAAATATTGCGATAATAAACACAACAAAAATATTGTCGATTAAAATAAACACACATTATGTTGGCAAACTTTTATACTGATAGTATAGCCAGATTTAATTTACAATGACAGAAATATAAAATATTATAATACTAACTAAATATTAAGTTAAGTTAGGATAACTAAGTCAGGATAATTTCCTAAATATTGCTCTAAATAAACTAGTAGGATAATTCCTAAATTAAAATTAAATTAATAATAATTAACACTAATCCTGTTCATTTAAACAACCTTGGCGTTTAAAATCATCAGGTTAGTGAAATCATTTTCGCTAAAAGTGCGAAAAGGGAAATGTGTGCATGCTCAATGCCCATGACATCTAGGTTGCGGATGGAGACACGTATATTCATAGCGAGAATGCGCGATAAGAATCGAGATAACAAAAAAATACATGAGATCATTTTGTTTACACACATACATAACAGTAATACACTGTTGGTTGGGGTGGTGTGTATGTAGTGGTGTAACCGATCCCAAGGTCTGGTCGTATCCGCGTATATATAACTGAGTGCGACATTAATTAAAATCAATCATTGAATAAATCAATTGACGTATCAGTGGTTGGGAGTCAACGCTTCACTCAATTCAATGGGTAATAAATCAATTGAAAATATTTCACACCATAAGTGAAATACATATAACGCTATTATATATAACGCTAACTCACTGACTAAAAAAATTGCTATAAATACTGGCAAAACACCATTTCATAGCATAAGTTACTTACCATTTGTTTGTATCGCTTCCATCCCTTCACCATTAGATTCTTTGACGGAGGAAGAAAACGCCCAAACGGTGATGTCTAGGAAGCATCAAATGCGACTGTCGGAGCGGACAGGACTCAGCGAGATGAATCCTATATCTGGCAAACTGTGGAACGTGTGGCCTAGTTGATATAACACACACCAACTAAACTCTGCCGACGCCTGGCGACTGTACGCCCGTTTGAGGGCCGCCCAGGCGTTGGCTGCCGTCGACTCGTCGACCGCCGTCGCGGCGGTGGCCGACGAGTTGACCGTCGAACAGGTGCTGGACGTCCCCGAGTGGGCCGATCACGAGCTACTGGAGGCCCGTTTCCCTGAGCTCAACCTGTTTGAAGAGTTTACGATGGAGTGCGAGCACACACTGCAACAAGAGTTGGTTACCTATGATTACAATACGTTCACCGCATTCGTCCGAATGTACCGCAACTACAGGCGCGCCGCCGACCACACGGGTGTCCCGCTAATTGACTACCTGTCCAAATACCGGAGCCGTGTCGAGCGGGACAGCATGTCGTGCGTCGGTATGTCCGTAGCGTTGGTCAAACGGCTGCGACAACAGTACCCGCGATTCGCCCGCTCTGTGGGGCTCGTGTCGTGCGAGGAGGCGGTGAGAGACGCGGGCGCCTACTCTATCAAGTCGGCCAACAACGTGAAGGAGCACAATCTGGTTTGCGTACGAGTGCTGGTGGAGGGCCGTCGCCGGGGCTACGTCCTCCTGGACCCGGGCTATCACGTCTCGCGTCCGATTGTGGTGATGGAGGACAAACAGTATCCGCACACCGGATGGTTCACCTCTTCCAGTAATCCCAAAGTACGCAAAGACTACTGCTATGAGCTGTTGGACGACCAGTACATCGGATGGCGTGTGAAAGAGTGGCGGAATGGAGTGCTCGAGGAGTGGATGAATTTGGTGTACGTGAAGAAGGCCTTCGCCAAGTGTCTGACCATCACTGAGAAACGGTCGCTGATATACGCCATGAAGTCGCTGGTCGTGCGTAACCGTAAGGGTCCGGTGGCCGGACTCTACTCGTGGCTCGAGACCAAATCGGTGACACTTTTCTATGAGGAGAACGGCTGTCGAGTGCAGAAGAAGGTCGATGTGGGAGATATCGCCGAAGACAACGAGACGTTGAGACAGATGTTGGTTAAGATCGTGTGTCTGATGACTGGTGTGACGGATGTGGACGCGCGGGTCAGACAACTGATGGCCACTTTGTGCGAGTTTCGTGAGGCGGCGGCCGATCACCACTTTATGCCACAATTGGCCGAAATTGACAAATGGATCGAAGAGGAAGACGAGAGCGACAGCGAGTCCGACGACAGCGATGGTAGCGATGAGGACACCGATGATAGCGATAGTGAGGACAGCGACGGCAGTGTTAGCGACGGTGAAGAGTACTAAATGGCGATCATTGGCTAAAACCAACTCTTTGTTTGATTTAATTAATTAAGTAATTATGCAGTAAATTGTTTGCAATCTTTTTTAGTAGATTAGATGTTTATGTAGTTTAGAGATATTGTAGTTTTTTGTCCGAAAGTACCTGTTCTTCAATAAAATGCATTCAAAATACAATTTAACATTTATGACAACTATTGTCATAAAGTTTTTTTTTGGTTTTTAATTACAATTTGATTTAATCTCATTATTTATTGGTTCCGTCTCTCTCTCTCTCTCTCTCTCTCTCTCTTAGACACGTTCACCACGTTATTCGAGAGCTACCGATCCGTTGGTCCGGACTCTCTCTCTCTCTCTCTCTCTCTCTCTCTCTCTCTGTAAATGTGATATACATTTACCATCTCATCAGACAGTTGTCTGTTATTATAGATTATTATAAACACAAGTCAGGCATTCAATAAAACAAAAATATTTTCCGTTTTTAAGCTAAATTATATTCTCAAAAACTTACTCATAAACTTACTGTTCAATTAATAAATTGAATTATATAATTATAATCGCATATAATTTAGTAGCACATCTACATTTGTTAAAATCATTATTTTATATATCGTATTATTGATTTGATAAATGTGGCCAAAAATCTTAATTACCAATAAAAAACACACACATAATAAATATAGCGTACATTAAAGCCATCACTAAAACACACACAACAGTGGAAAATAGTTTCACTTCATTTACTCCATTAGTTCTATTATGTAAATAACAATGCAGTCAATGAAAACACTGGCGTTTAATGAATAAACAAAAAAAATTGGACACAAAAAGCCTGTATTTTAAGGCTTATAATCATTTTGTTTCCGAGTTTTGATCTGAAGATTAAATGGGAGCGAAGGGGAGAGAGAGAGAGAGAGAGAGAGAGAGAGAGAG